CCATGGTGAGGCAGGCTGTCCCCCTGCAGCCCATGGAGGTCCACAGTGGAGCAGATACCCACCTGCAGCTCATGGAGGACCCCACGTCGGAGTTGGTGGATGTGCCTGAAGGAGGCTGTGAGGCTGTGGAGAGCCTGTGCTGGAGCAGGCTCCTGGCAGGAGCTGTGGACCCATGAAGAGAAGCCCATGTTGGAGCAGGTTTGCTGGCAGGACTGGTGACCCCATGGGGGACCCATGCTGGAGCAGTCTGTTCCTGAAGGACTGCACTCTGTGGAAAGGACCTATGCTGGAGCAGTTCATGAAGAGCTGTAGCGCATGGGAAGGAGAAGGACCCACGCTGGAGAAGTTTGTGAAGGACTGTCTCCTGTGGGTGGGACCCCACACTGGAGTAGGGCAAGAGTGTGAGGAGGAATGAGCAGCAGAGGCAATGCCTTATCAACTGACCGCAACCCCCATTCCCCATTCCCCTGCGCTGCTTGCGGGGAGGAGGTAGAGAAGTCAGGACTGAAGTTGAGCCCAGAAAGAAGGGAGGGGTGGGGGAAGGTGTTTTCTAAGATTTGGTTTTATTTCGCATTATCCTACTCTGATTCGATTGGCAATAAATTAAATTCATTTCCCCAAGCTGAGTCTGTTTTGCCAGTGACAGTAATTGCTGAGTGATCTCCCTGTCCTTATCTCGACCCATGAGCCTTTTGTCATATTTCTTCCCCCTGTCCAGTTGAGGAGGGAGTGTGATAGAGCAGCTTGGTGGGCACCTGGCAGCCAGCCAAGGTCAACCTGCCACACTGCCTACATGTGAGCATGAGGTTTACACTCCCTTTACAGACAGTAGAGATTAGGATATCATTCACTTGCCTGCAGACAGACATGTGTGGCCACTTGAGATGCCATGTCACATCTCCCCTCATCTTCAGCTGCTGCTTCAGGGTGGTCTGAGAATCCCATAAATCCCATGCTCTGATAGGCCTGTGGGAGCCCAAATTGCATTAGGCTTCCACATTTGGGCAGCTGAACCCCGTCCTTCAGTCAAACTAACTTAACCAACTGCTTACATATAAGCAATTGTTCCTGAGTTTTCTCACATCCAGTATGGGGTCTGTAGATTTCACCCTTATCACTTAACGTCCAAAAAGACCACTCAGCATTTCATAGCTCACAATTTGATTGTTATTAATAGTTTTCTGACTTTGTACAAAATTTGGAATTTGCATTCATACTCTTCCTGGTAAACTGTTCTGATGGGTTTATTAGTTAAAAATGAATACACAACAAATGCAACAAATACTGAAATAAATCCATGTTTCTTTCATCCAAGTAAAATGAAATAAAATTGCAACATTTGACAGGTCTGAGTTTTTACAAGATTAGTTTTTAGTACAAGATGAATGCCTAAGAACTACTTCAGAGACTATTTCTTTCTTGACCATGGTTTTAAAAGCTGATATTACTTTTTTTTTTTTTTCCTTCCTCTCTGCTTTCACATCCTCTGCGATTCACTACATTATTAATTTATTAATCTCCTCCTGGTGCTGTGGAAGGATGTCACAGAGAGGGTAATGCGTTTTTCGTGTATACAGGGCGTACTCCCAACCATTTTCCATCAGAGCCTGGACAGAAGAATGGGTACAGATTCCCAGAAAACTCCAAAGGGAGAGACACGAGAAGGCACTTTTCTTTAACATCAAAGAATGAAAGCACATTATGGTCCTGATCCAGGAAAACACCTACTATGCTGCAGGGCTTGCAATTTCTTACATCCGTCCCACCAGTTAAGCTGTATTCTCCCTGAGAAAACCGCAGACTGCGTAAATTCCCCTTTGGGAAAGTATTTGTGTTGCTCCTCAGTGTATTTCTAATTTCTTCACACACCACACCCAGCTCCCACTCTGATTTATCCCCCACCTCCACTTCCCAGTAATGTTTCTTTTCTGAAAAACCTTCAGTAGCCACCACCACCGCTTTGGGCAGGATCTCTTCCTGGGTGGAGGACTTGACCCTGTTTTTCTCCTCAATGATGAGGCTGGGATGTTTGCAGTTCTCATCTAGAGTGATATTAACTTGAGAAAGGAAGAAAAAAAAAAAGAAAAAAATACAAAGCACCAAGTTACTTCTGACTTTCAGGGAAATAAACAGTAATCTCAAAGGAAGCAAATAAAGGAGAGAAACAATTACAAAAAAACAACCAAACAAACAAGCAAACAAAAAAAAAAACAAACTTAAATGCCCCAGGAATATACAGACTGCTTTTGTCAGACAAAAACTCAATAGCAGAAATAATATTCAGCAGGGTATGCCTGTTCTCTGGCTTCATGCTGCCTTTATTAATTCATCTTTACTCTGACTGAGGGGATCCAGGCTCTCTGGTCAGACCCATCTGGCAGCAAAATTTTTTGGAGTAAAACATAAACCTGAATCTCTCAAAGCCACATGATATGTAAAAAGGCCCTATTTGGTACAGAAGTGATTTACCCCAACTTGTGACACCGAGAACTGTGTAGATGGAAGATGCCTAAGAAAACCTGGGTGCCTGTTTCAACCAACAGGCTGCAAAATTTCCTCAAATTCTGACAGCCTGTGAATTTTTCATAACACAAGGGATAGACTCTGGTATGTACGTGAAAGAACATGAGGTTTATGGCAGGTGAGATTTGGCTTACCTGCATTCTTACGAGCTCTCCTGAAGTCTGCAAGAAAATAAATGAATGATTAATTAAAATTACTGCAGAATGTTACTATACCTAATTTTAGTACAGTATGGGGTTGGAGGGGTGTAGATTTGATAAAATTAGTTTTTATCTTTCAACTCACCCAGTTCATTCTGGACTTTTTCTGAAAGAGACAGAAAGTTATATTATCCTCATGCATGGCAAGGCTCTTCTGTAGGGTGTCTGTGTTAATAACAGTCTTTCCAATACTACATTACTTAATTATGACCTGGCTTAGGATTCGGGAAACGATGCTACCTTAACTCTGGAGGGCTAGAGGTTATCTAAACCCAAGCCAGTCGCCTGGGCTCTGTGTAGAGCCAGGAGAAAGAGAATGGCACATCAGAAAGTGTTTCTTCTCTGCTGTTTCAACCGCCTATCTGAAACTACTTTTGGATGTCTTAATCGCTCAATGAGGGAGCCAAGAATATTGCCTTAGCCTCAATGCCCCAAATTTAGATAACTAGTTAGGTGAGCTGAATCACCTGCAGGTACACACAGGACATGTGGCCAGGCTGCCAGACCCTGTCAGATGACAAACAGGAGCTTCACATGGCCAACAGTTAAAATGCATATGAAAGTATGTATATTTTTCCTTCTTTCTTTCAAAAATATCAGTTTGTTAGCAGGAAAGAAAACCTGTTTTCAACTCAGCTACAACAAAAATTAAACCCTTAAAGAACTGAGATGATATTCCCTTGTTATGGAAACATGTTCTGGAGTCCAAGATTGTGTCAGATAAACACTGGTTTTTAGGGACAACTAAGTCCAGGGGTGGAAAAGAATGAAGTGCTGCAATAGCCCTCAAATGGTGGCACAGTTCAGTTCCAAAATGGTATTTCTGATCACAAATAATCTAAATTATTTTTAAGGCCCGAAGTTAACTTAATATCCTTACCAATTTCAGACAAAATATTCTGATTTTCTACAAGGAAACAAAATTAAATTTAAAGTTAGGACAACTAAATCAGGCGAATTATGGTACACTCACTAAGCATTTTGCAATACTAATATATAAGTTAACTATATATAGAGGTTAATCTGTTTATTACTCTGTTTTTATATATATATATATTTTTATATATATATATATTATATATACAGGAGTAATCTCTTTATCTTTGTAGAATAATAGACATGCACTATACAAATTTTCCCCAGTATTAAATAATGTGTTGCACAAATATTCCTGAACACAAGACACGACAAAATAAATAAAGGAAAATATCAGAAACAATCAGGGAGTGATTCAGAACAAATAGCTCCCAAGGATATTTACAGTTCATAAAGCGTCATAAGAGAAGGAGAGTAAAACCTCTCTCAATAACACAAAGCTTGCGATTATATTTGTCTCTTTTACACAAATAAAGCCCAATTTAATCCTTTTTATGGTTCTTAGCTTCACCTGGGGACATAGCTTGTCACAGTTGCTTTTTGAGAACTCCTTTATTCTCAATGTTCAACAAGAATTGCGCTGGGATTTTTCCCATTCTATTCTTTTTAATGCTGTGATCAGATGCTTTAGTCGTTATTTTGTTCTGAGATGCAATAAATAAATTAAATAAATAAATAAATAAAATAAAATGTTCCACTTAAATATTTTCTAGCAGAAAAATAACACGAGAGAGAGAGAGAGAGATATCTATATATACTCTCTATCGATAGATATATACATATAGATAAAAAGAGAGAGACTGAATGTACACATAACACAACTTTTCAGTTATCTTTCTGGTTGGAATAGGGGAGTTAATCTTTGCAAATGTGAAGGTCTGAGAGTGTTTTCCAACTCTAGTATTCAAAGCTGCATAAACGACCACTATTTTATTAGAAAGGTCGCCTGCAAAGCATGTTTCAGGGTATGGTTAAAAGAATAGTGTGTGGCACTAAATGCAAGGTAAAAAAAAAAATGTTATTTTACCCTTCTGAAAGCTCTTCTGCTCCTCAGCTGAAAAACAAAGCAACAAACCCAGAAATAGCAGAGAATGATACATTTTTCAAGACAAAATCAAACAAAATGTGAGTGAGTATTTCAGTGTTAAAGAATGTTTTCATTTAGGGAACTGAGGCTTGGCATAAAGTTCAGAATATAATTTCAAAATAGGTGGGGGATAAATTGTCCTCTGAAGATACCCATCCCGTAGAATGAGACTAGACTATTAACTTAGACTAGATACACAAAATTTGCTGGCTCAAACCAGGTTACATTGAAGATAATAATACCAGATATCATTAATTTAATTAAAACCCCTAGCTTTAGAATAGAAGGACATTTTCAGTATGGGCCCTCTTTCAAGACATTATAACTTTTTTAAATATGGAGGATTCTTCTAACCAAAGGATACTCAAAACCAACACGACAAAGAAGTCAAGATACATTCTTACCCAGTTCATCTTTGAGTTGTTCTATCTCTGAAAGAGATTATGTTTAAATATTAAAAAACCATTTCCTTTCCTTTTTTTTTTTTTTAAACAGAAATACATTGAATTTCCCATCTGTTCCACTGTGTTTTGTATAGCAAGAGCTAAGATGAAATTAAATGATCCAAGCTTCATAAAAACGACCAGATGTTCTCCTGCTATAAGGCAGCCAGAGTTATTGTCTTCATTATGCTGGTACCTTCCCTTAAGGTAGGAACAAAAAGACTGCTCAAGAAATTCACCTTGGCAGAATGAAGTAACTAAGTTTCACTGAACTAAGGAGAAAATACAGAACTAATATTTTAATGAGGATGTGATTGAATGGCATTGGCATGCGATCGAATGGCACTGGCATGCGATCGAATGGCACTAGCACATCCATCTGCAGATGGTTCTTAGTACTTATGTTGAAACAACGGAATCATGTCCAGATAACCTTAAACATGGCTTTATAAAAGATATAAATTATGTTTCTCCGTAAGTCCATAAGGACTACTCAAAACTTTCAAAAAAGTTTACTGGATTTACTACATCTCTGGCACACTTTGCATACTCAGCTCGCTTGCTCTTCACAGTAAAAGCAATCTTCTTATTCTGCTTTTGTACAACGCAGTCCTAACCAGGACTTTTATAAGAAGATCAGAAAACTTTTTTTTGATTGTTCAGGCTCTAGAGCTTAATTCTTTCTTTTATTACAGACTGAAATTCAGCACGAACCATGATCCCAAATTAAGAACACATTAACTACCCGAATTAATCAACAGAAAAATTTGCAAGCTCAAATACTGAGCAAAAAATACCAGGCATAGATCAAACTTTTCCATAGAATTAGTCCTTTTCTTTGCAGTAGGCATTGATCATCTTTAAATGGTCAATATAAAAGGTATTGCAATGATTTAAAATTTTTTTTTTATTTTACAAAAGCAAGCAAAACAGTCACTAATATTTCCTGAGCTCAGCTTTTATCTGGTTCTAAAGGACCAGAGAGATTTATAGATAGAAATCACTGAAAAAAAGCTGTTACACTTACCTTCTTTAATGTCCTTTTGTGCATTTTCTGTGAACAGAGAAATATTTTTATATCCTAAAAATAATTCTTCAAGCACTTCAAGACTACAACAGAAGTGATTAAGCCACAACAATTTGTACAGAATTGTAGAATCATAGAATCCTTTAGGCTGGAAAAGACCTTTAAGATCATCAAGTCCAACTGTTAACCCAGCACTGTCAAGTCCACCTCTAAATCATCCCCTAAGCACTACATTTACCCATCTTTTAAATACCTCCAGGTGGGGACTCAACCACTTCCCTTGTCAGCCTGTTCCAGTGCCTGACTACCCTTTTGGTGAAGAAGTGTTTCCTAATATCCAACCCAAATCTGCCCTGGCACAGCTTGAGGCCGTTTCCTCTTGTCCTATCACTTGCTACTTGGGAGAAGAGACCGACCCCCACCTTGCTACAACCTCCTTGCAGGTAGTTGTAGAGAGCGAGAAAGTCTCCCCTCTCGACACGCTCCAGCACCTTCATGTCCTTCTTGTAGTCAGGGGCCCAAAACTGAACACAAGATTCAAAGTGTGGCCTCACCAGTGCTGAGTACAGGGGGACGATCACTGCCCTGGTCCTGCTGGCCACACTATTCCTGATGCAACTATATTTATATATAGTTGCGTGTATGTATTTGGATGTATATATATACACACATAAATTACTGGTTTTATTTGAATACTAGGTAACTACACTTCAAAAGTAAATTATTTTTTATAAACTGAGTTTAAACAAGTACAATACAGGTATTGACCAAAACAAAAATAAAATCTTTTTTTGCCTCAAGTTAAGCCAGTTTGTTGCAACATTTGAAACAAAAATACTAGAGATCAAGCACAAAACATATTGTGGTATACCTATATAGGTATACCTATAGGTGGTATACCTATATGTGGTATACCTATAGATATACCTATATACCTATAGATAAAGAGAGACTGAATGTACACTCTGCTATTTCAAACTCACAGCCATTCAGGGACCAGCAGCTAAAATCACGTTTTACAGAGTCACAGATAGTTGAGGTTGGAAGGGGACGCTTGGAGATCCATCTAGTCCACCCATCCTGCTCAAGCAAGGTTGGCCCAGGGCTGTGTCCAGTTGGGTTTTGAATGTCTCCAAGGTCGGAGACTCCACAACCTCTCCAGAGCAACCTGTGCCAGTATTCAAATATCTTCACAGTAAAAAGACTTCTTTCTGTTCTCTGATAGTTTAGTATATACTCAGTTTTATTTCACAAGTCATACTGACAGGTGGCAAAATTCTGCAAAATGGATAGGAAGTGTTTCAGAGATGACTGGATGTGAATTTTAATAAAAGTCTCCATAGATTTGTTCCCACATACTCTTTTCTTTTTTTAAATTCCAAAACATTTTTGTTTGTATGCAAATTTCTGAGATTAGTTCCCAGGCAGCATTTCACTCCCTCAATTATGGCAAAGGTGTGTTTTCTTTAGAGTTGCCATCAGCATAAAACAGTCACTAGATATATTCTGCTTTTCTTCTGTAAGTCAGAAGTCACAAAAACCCCAAAAATCTCATCCTGAAGATTAAACGGTTCAGAAATTGAAGTAAATATTCAGACAAATAATGAGGTTTTCATTTTAAAAATGAAAATAACTTCCTAGCATATAGTACTTTCCAAGCAGAACACGTTGGATTCTCCAGAAGTTTACAAAGGCTACCTTTCGCCCGGGAAGCTTAATTTTTTTTTTTAATTGTTTCTGTAGTCATTAGAGAGTCAAAAAACTCCGTGTACAATTCAGAGGAATAAGTTGGGTTCCTCCTCTGAACTGTATCCCAATTTACTTCATTGCTGGTGAAAGATGCAAGTTATCTAAAAGAAGCTATATAGTTTCCTCTTTTTCCTAAAACTTTTTTTTTTTTAATATAAAAGTATTTCTAGAAAAAAACATTTTAAAAGTATTTCCAGTTTTCACATGAAACAAATTTTTTTTATTGAGAGTTTTGCACCTATTGAAATTTGGAGTGGGTCTTGGCAGGGGAAAAATTGCTCTGGAAACACCTTCTGGTGAGAACACGCTGCCACTTGTATGCCCTGCTCAATCCCATCTGTGTGGCAGCTTTAACCGTGCTCCAACATGGTATTTGGGGTCCTGAGGGGTCTTTCTATCACAGTTTTGCATAAGGGCACTAGGAAATGTTGTAATGCTCTGAGGAGCCTGGACATAAAGCTTGGGGAACTGTCAAAAAGTCATTTGTGTGGAAATGGTAAACTTTTAGATAGCTAGTGGGTCAGGGGGAAGAAAACCTGTGAAATTTTTTGCACAAAAGGTGAGTCACACCAAAAGCTTTTTACCACTTCTTTCAACATCTGCAGGCAGAAAAGCTGAGGTTAAATGGGATGCAAGAATTTCCTCATTCCTCATCAGGAGCAGGAATCAGCAGTGGACCAGTCTTTCTGTGCTGGCTGTGCATAAGGTGACTTACTCCCCAAAGGCACCCCAGCTGGAGCCTACAGGTAGATCACGTCAACCAAAGTCCTAATCTTTCGAAGTCTCTGTCATAAAAAAACCTTAGGAATACAACTAATTAGCCCCATGGTTTATACCACTGGCCAACATTTCTACTGTTGCACATATCTTTCAAGATGTTCGTGATGAAATATAGTATTAATATGACTTTTAAATATGGTATTAATATGACTTACTTTCACAAGTAGTTGTCTTATTGTTCTCTGAGAGAGAGAGGGGGAGAGAAGAGAGAGGCAGAGAGAAGGAAAATGTTATCTTACTTTCTTCTTGCTTGTAGGTTTTCAAATGAAACTTCATATTTTGTGGTGGTCATGCTTGGTAAGGAAGCAACTTATTTTCAAAATATCTTGGTTTGCATATACTTCCATTAAAACAATGAGAAATCACAGAGAATTTAATGAACAAAACTAGTGATGCTGAAGGCAGAAAAAAAGTCAAGTATGCTGTCTTGGCAATGGATTTTTGTTGTGGAACTGTCTTACTTAGAAAGTAGCTTATAAAGCAATAAAATTACTTGCAAATAAATTAAGCCAATAAGACATTTGGGTACACTAACATATTTCAGTTACATGCAAGAATCGTTTATATTTCAAAAATGAGATTAAGTTGCAATGATAATTTCACATAGTAATATGTCAATTCATATTGGCAAATGTGATTGTACAGGTTTATACCCCAAGATGTTGGAGTAGTAAAGAGATACTTAAAAATCAATCTGCAAAGAAAGCAAAAATACAGTAAAAACCCACGGTTGAAGAATCACGAGGGTGATTGTTCATAATCCTGTACCCTCCTCCCCACATAATTCTGGACATGGTGCTGTCTTTCAACTGGCTTGTATGAAGCATTCATCACTTTAGTATGAAGAGTGGAACTTACTTCTGAGTTTATAAATTGCAGCAATAACCAGGAATATGCTCAAGAGCAGGATCACGACAAAAGCCGCCAGCCAAGGGGAGGTGGCAGGAAAGAAGACATCTGCAAATTATTTCAGATGATCAGTTATAACTTTCTTCGAATTATCAACTTTATACTTTGATTACATGCCTAAAGTGAAACAAAACAAATTTGGATCTAGATTTCATTCCTAGACACCTGTAGGAGCAGTTCACTGGGACTTTTTACATCCCTAGACTATTTTATAAAGCACCATCAGAGATTTGTGTAAACCACTGAATTAGAATAGAATAGAATATTAGATGTTATAGTAATAGAAACAGAAGTGGAAGAAAATGAGAGAAAAAGAGAGAGAGAGAGATGGAACAGCATCCTCCATCCTTGCAAGTGAGAATAAGCACTGCTCAATAACAAGATTTTATTTCCCCCGGATGGCATTACACCCATGGAAGGGTGGTTTTATTATTAATATTTTGACATTGTTTGGGAGTTGCCCATGGAACCTAATGGTGGTTCAGTGCAAAGACCAAGAAGTATCACTGAAGAAAACTTCTGTAGAAACTGATTATTCTGTTCCACTAGAAATCTGAGGTTCTGGGGCAATCTGCTCTGCATGCATCAGCTCACTGTTTTTCCTCCCAGGCCACAAGGATACAAGCTCATACTCACCCGCAACGACAACTGAAGATTCTGTTGTTGTTTTCAGCAGTTTATCAATTATTTTGCAGGACACAGAGTTTCCAGATCCGGGTTTTAGAATGATGGAGCTGCTGGTATTAGCAGTGGTGGTGCCAGTGGTGAGAGGAGTCCCAGTGACATTGTCTCCTCTACCATCTGTCCACAACACCTGAACTTCAGAAAACAACCTCTCAGAGAAACATTTGAGTCGAATGCCATCGTCCTCATAACCATCCAAGACAAGCAACGGATCATGGCCACCACCTAGAGAAGAGAGAGACAAACGGATTGAGCTCTGCTCTGCAATCGCAGTGGTTTTAAAGGCTAAAGGGGAAGAAGCCTGTGAGAAGTTTTGCATTTATGATGCCCTGTAAGTGTTTTCCCCACGGAAGTTGCAGCCCTTACCCAATGACATTAGCACATCCTCTCACAACTCCTCACCAGGAGCAGCAGCTGCAAATTAGAGGATGAGGAAAAGCACATAGATGCATTTGAAACACAAAGCCATCCACTTCAAATTACAAGTGTCCAGCGCTGCCACACATCATGCAAGTCAAAATTACCTGTCACCTCCCTTTGTAGTGTTGATAACATTAGGTTATCTAGGTATGTTCATCTCACCGAATTTTAGCCACCTAAAAGCTAAGTTTCTCATTGAGGCAGTCCTCTTGCAGAGAAACCATGGAGAAACTGACTTCCCTACAGAGTGATTCATTCACTGGGAAGATGGGAATCTGAGATAAATCAATTATGTTATGCCTGTCTTCTCCTGTTGACCACACAGGTACCTCAGATAAATAGCTCTCAGGTGCTCAGTTTTAATGCCTACAGCTGAGCATGCTGAATCCCAGAACATAAATCTGTGTTAACATACAAGCCAAAGAAGTCATCTAAATCTGGACCTCCTTCAGTGGAGAAGAAAGTCATAGGGGGCATCAGTTCAAATCTATTCATAGTCTCTGAAATGGATTCAGTACAAAGCGAAATTAATCTGTTACAGAGCAAAATTACCTGCAGTGGGATGGTGTGTAGATACCAATACCAAGATGAAGATTACTCCTGTCAGCTGGACCAAGAGCCCCATACCTATGTGGAAGAGAAAAGTCTATGTTCGAATGCAAAATAAATGATGTGGGGTCGTGCACAGTTGAGTTACATCATTCCCAGATTCGCTCCAACATCTTGTCTGCTTATGTGCACTACCCACGTGCTTAACTGCACCCCAGACGAACCTGGGGAGTGATTCAGCAGCCAGAGAAGTCCTGTGATCGTTCCTATGGTCTGTGTGGAGACCCTCCAACACTGATAATAGTCAGTGGTTATGAAGTGAGCAATTCCTGAGCTGGGCAGACATGTGTCTCCTTAGTAGTACCAGTAACAGGACTTGAGATGGCTCCTTGGAATTAAAAAGCAAAGACAATACAGATACAAAAGCCCAGAACATAAATTCTGCCTTGAAAAAAAAAAAAAAAGAAATTGAAAATAAGGGCACATCGGTATTTTCTAAATTATATATTTCTCTTTGGAAATACTATAACCATTTTTTTCCTCAAATATTTTTAATGAAAGTAGAAATGAAAGTTTCTAAATTAACCAGGATTTTAAAGCAGAAGTTTCCAAGATTTATATAACCAAGCCCACTTTTTCTCTCTCTCTCTCTACATGTATAGGTATAAAACCATATATAAATATGTATATTATACTACAATAAATATAACTCAAATAGAAAAAAAAAAGGAAGACCTTCATTTGACTTTGACCTGGCAAAACATAATAAGCACTGCTTTGAAGTGCACCACATGTCCAGGCAGGTCATGGATTTGCTTCTCTCCTCCCCACCACACACTTTTTTGCAATACAAAATGGAACCTCTCATTAATTATGGCCCATCCGAACCACCCTAAGGATTTTCAGAGTTTTCACTGGTCATGGTAACTAAGACAACTAAAAATTTCTCAATGCATACTTTCACAGGAGGAGAAAATATGTCATGATCCAGAGGTGGCTGGTTTTCTTCACTGCTGGTAAAAGGAGACCAGGAAACTAAATGTGCTGGTTTGGGCTGGGATAGTGTCCCGATCCAGTGTCGGGGGAGGTTTCAATACGATCCCAAGGACGTGATTAAGACACAAATGAGGTCAAATGCCATACAACCTTTTGACTTTATTTTGGTGAACAAAGGGGTGAGGACCGGGTAGGGAGACAGGGGGGAAAAGAGAGAGAGAGAGAAAATGAGCAAAAGAGCGGGCGAGAGAAAAAAGAGAGCAAGAGCGTGCTCAGGCGGGTGAGAAGAGGGCCACATAGGGGAACTCTACCGCCACGCCACTCTGAGTCCGGCGTTATCCCGTTGATCAAAGGTCCAGCCAGTCCAGCCTCTGTGTCCGCAGGAGCAGCTTCCAAGGAGTGCGCGGGGTAGGAGGAGAAGAAAAAGAGAGCAGCCTCAAAAGGCACACGTGGTCCTTTTATAGGGCCATGCACATGTGCAGGAGGGGTCTGCGTATGTGCAGTTTGCTCTTCTGCTTTTCACGCCCTCGTCTCTGCGCAGGCGTACGTGCAGTTTATGGCCCCGCCTTTTGCGCCCTGGTCTCTGCATGGGCGTCCTGTGGCAGTTTCGTTGGGGGCTGGATGTTGAAGCCAGAAGATGGTGATAGAACAGCAATGTCGAGAAAATTCTGCTCCCATAACAGTCCTTGACAGATAGAGTTAATTTTCTTCATAGTAGCTAGTGGGGGGCTATGGTTTGATTTGTGCTGGAAACAGGGTTGGTAACACAGGGATGTTTTCCTTATTGCTGAGCAGCGCTTACACAGAGTCACGGCCTTTTCTGCTTCTCACACCGCCCCACCAGCGAGGAGGCCGGGGGGGCACAAGAAGTGGGAAGGAGACACAGCCGGGACAGCTGACCCCAGCTGAGCCAAGGGCTGTCCCACACCGTACGGCGTCATGCTCAGCATATAGAGCTGGGGGAAGAAGAAGGAAGGGGGGGATGTGATGGCGTTTGTCTTCCCAGGTAACGGTTACGCGGGATGGAGCCCTGCTTTCCTGGGGATGGCTGAACACCTCCCTGCCCATGGGAAGGAGGGAATGAATTCCTTGTGTTGCTTTGCTTGTGTGCGTGGCTTTTGCTTTACCTGGTAAACTGTCTTTATCTCAACCCACCAGCTTTCTCACTTTTACCCTTCCGATTCTCTCCCCATCCCACTGCAGGGGAGCGAGCGAGCGGCTGGGTGGTGCTTAGTTGCCAGCTGGGGTTAAACCATGACACTAAATTGTGTTAGAAGCCTAACACTTAGCTAGTTAATGATATATAGTATGAGTCCTAGTTCTTTTATCTTTTTGAGGCACAATATAGTCCCTTCCTATAGCCATTAAGAATGTGAGATTTTGACACGTTTTATTTGTTTTCGTAATTTCCTCTTTTTTTGAGCCTTCACACACCATCTTCAGGACTTTCTCTGCTGCCAGGATAACTAGAGAACGAGTTTCACTTTGGTTTTTGTATCATAGCTGAGTGATAGCACTACAAGAACTGGGATGCTTGGGATTCAAGGAAATAGGAAAGGAAAAATAGAATAGAATAGAATAGAATAGAATAGAATAGAATAGAATAGAATAGAATAGAAAAAGCACAACATATTGCAAAACACATAGAGAAAAAAAGCCATGACAACAAACAGCAAGTCTTAAAGTGCCTGTCAGGTACTCTGTTGAGACTGCAATGCTGACACCGTAGTAAATGTAAAGACTGCCACAAACACCTTGAGTAGGAAGAATAACACTGCACAATGAGCACAGCAGCTACAAGCAGGAGCAAAGAGAAGGATGAACAACAAAAATGAAAGTAACGCCCTGTGACGGTGTGCTTCCCCGCCCCCCCAACTTTTATCTCCCTTAAGTCTGCTCAGGCGACAACCACCAGTGGTGGTCATAATGGATGTGTCTGGTCATGACGGCTGCATCCAGCTCAAAGTGGATTCGGGAGACAGATAACAACACAATAGCCAAGGGCTATTGGGCAATGCGCCCACCTAACCACAATGAAGAAACTAAAATCTGTGGTCAGTATGCAAATATGACTATGAATCAATCAATAAACACTGAGCAGCCCAAGAACCCTTTGAGCTCTCCTGCCCAGCAGCAGGCTGCACACCAGGATCTCCCCTTGAGTAGGAAGGCCTCTCAAGGTTACTCCTTGAGGTTGAGAGTTTCCTTGCCACAACAGATCCTTGGTGACTGACTAATAGCATGCTAAACTTTGAAATCTTAGCTAAGCGATATAAAGCATTGATTGCGCGTATATAGTCCTTTAGACATAAACCATTGACCAAGTCTGGGACTAGGATTGGATCCAGTTGCACCTAGACTCCTCTCTGAGAAGGAATTTAGAAAGCAAGGGGGTCCTCTCCGAACCTCATGACTCAATGGGAGGGCCTCCCTGAGAGTTTTGTCTGACCCTGTCCCCTATGCAGTAAATAATCCAGTGTACCTTGCCATCAAATCTTGTTAAACCACTGTCGCGTTTACCATTGAACTTTGTTAACTCACTGTTTTATATCAATAAAGTATATTTTTGCTTCTCTCTCACTCCATCCGCGACATGCCATAGGAAACCGAACAAAAACAAAATGGAGAAGCGCAATAAGGGATCCGTGCCCATTACATGATATCGATGCTCATCTGGGGCTTTCCAAAGGGTCTGTACGTCCACATCTCACTGTCAGAGTGTGGATTTCTCTCCACTAAATCCGACCCTACTTGACCCCAAAGCCAAATCTAACTTTAAGCATGGCTTCAGGATAGACAGATATGATGGTATGTTTGAGGTTTTTCTCTCACTCCCAAGCAGCAGTTCACCATGCAAAAATACACACAAACAGAGCTCAGCAGAGATAATCCCCAGATCTTTCAGGACAACACCCAAAACATCTGGCAACCAACACAACACAACACAAAGCCTGCAGGAAACAATGGGCTAAGAAAACAGTCAGAGCTCTTCCCTACAGAAGCAGCTAAATAAGCAATTGCTTCAACAGAGAGAAACACAAACCTGGATTTCCCAAAACGTAGCTGCTCCTTAAAGAAACGCACATGCAGGTGCTTACATCTGTTGGCGATGTTCAGAAGGCTACTGGTACCTTTGGACCCTGTCAGCCACTGCAATCCTGACCATAAAACTAACCCTTTTATTTCCAAAGGTTACCTATTAACCTTTGCAATGCAGTACTGTGAGAGTGAAAGAAAATAAAAATGGGTAGGGCTGAGGA